TGACGGATTTTTCTGTGACGTGACACTCGTTCTTTATAAGCTTAGTCATTGACTAATGCTGATAATACAGATTGGTGACAATTTAAAGGAAAAACCTGAATAAATGAGTGGAGAAACATAAATGCAGACTGTTTTTTTACTAGGCTATGTGATTTTTAAGCTAAGAGTAAAACATTTGAGGTATTTTTCAGAATACCACATGACTCCTTCCAGGAAAGAGAAAACAGACAAACAAACATTCATTAATTCAAGGTCAGTCAGCCTTCTCTGGTGTTTTTCTCCACATCTCATATTCCTTAGAGCAGTAGTAAGTGGAGCATGAGTAAAGTTTTTTCAGCATTATTTCAGATGTTAGAAGCTTGTTTCTTACGGTTTCTATAGGAGTACAGAAACCAATACTATTAAACTAATCTTCATGTGTAACACAAGTGAATGCATGTGGTGGGTTTAAAAATGACTAAACAGAGATACAGGCCTGCATCAGTTTTCAGAATGCCACTTCACTAATTATCTACCATATCTTCTTAACGTTTCAGTAGCAAATAACTTGTACTGAGAGGCCTGCACTTTCCCTCAGCCCTCGTCTCCTCCACAGCTTACTTCCTGGTTCGAAAGGAGTGGCTTGAAGGAGAGGAAGAGCTTTCAAGATCTCCCCGGGGAGTCCTTTATTACTATTATTAATCATATTAATATTAGTTCCTATTTCCCAATGCAAATTCTAACCTCCATGAGGACGTGTGTTTGTTCGGAGACGCCTGACGCTTTCCTGGTATACATGTCATCTACTTTTAATATTCCATGACGGCTGTTAACCCTAATAGCACCAACTAAATAGCAGGAGAATGACGGCAAAAATCATACATAAAAACACTTTGACGGTCACGGAATATGAATAGTTGGCCACGGCCAAGAAGCCACATACAAGTAACTCAGGGTTGTTGTTGTTGTTGTTGTTGTTGTTGTTGTTAATTGAGCAAGTTAGTAAACCGACAAAGTGCTTCGAAAACAATGACAGGTTGACACGGAGGCAGCTAAACAGAGCAGTTACTAAGCTAACTTGGCTGTTGTTAACGAGCAAGCACAAAACTTTGAGGATGACGTTGTGTATTTTCTAAGAGATGTCAACAAAATACTTATTTCCAGAAAAGTTATAAAGTTCGCCAGAAGTTGTTTTAAAGCAGGAATAGCGTTGAAAACTATGTTAATAAACCTTGTTGTGGAAAATAACTTTGACATTAGCCCAAACTGGGCCAGTTAGCAACACTACTAGCTGACAACGAAAGCTAGCTGGTCAAACTTACCTTCTGTATTCTTTTCAGTGCCATGTTGACTGATGCAGTTCGCTCCTCACTTCACTTGTACTCACTCTTTCGTGTCAGTTTCAATATTATTGCTGGCAAAGTCAATGGCTGTAATTTATTCCCTGAGTACCTAAACAGCCAGGGTGTGTTTGTGTTTTTAAAAACCCTCCTTTGTTTCCGCTTTCTTCTGTTTACGGTCGCTCCCCCGAAGTGGATCACGGGAAACGTAGTTTTGCAACTGGGTGTAACGAAATATAGCCTGCACAAAAGAGACTGATACTGCTCAGTACTTATTTAACTGTCTTATATTGCTCTGTTTCTTGCTCGTTTGAAGGCCATTGGAGGTTTGTGTAACTTTTAGTTGTAACTTATTTATATGAAACACACAAGTTAATAAGCAATCCACAAATGAAAGAAAATCAAGAAAGTAGTTTGCCCTAAAAACGAATTCTCTAAAATAACTACTATTTTGAATACATCATCATCACAGTAGCCTATGTTTAGAAATTATCCAATAGCCTATATTTTTGCTCATTTGTAATAATCAGAAAATCCTTCCTCAGAATAGGTTCTTAAGCTATTTTACATTATTGTCAATGATATTAAGATCTGGGGAAGTTGGTGTATATTCTGTCCCCACTATTCCCTTGGTCACTTTGTATCCAAGGCAAAGCAGCCACTCACAACAATCACATAGACATAGAGGAATGCACTGAGGCCGTCACAGCATACATCACAAAGTGCATTGATGATGTCCCTTACTGCAAAAATATCAGTGTTCGTGCCAACCAGAAGCCATGGATGATAGATGAGGTTCACATACTCCTGAGGCCTCGGGATGCAGCCTTTAGGGCCAGCGACACAGCAGGTCTAGCAACAGCAAGAGCCAACCTGTCCCATGGAATCAGGGAAGAAAATATCTGGACGCTTCAGCAACACTAGAGATGCACAGAGTCCCTGGAGGGGCATCCAAACCCTCACAGACTATAAACCCCCACCCCGGAGCTGTTATAGTGACATCTCTCTGCTGAACAACCCCCCGCCCACGTGAGCAGGGTGTGTGTCTGTCCATAACCAGTGTGAAGAAGACCCTCTCCAGGATTAACCCACGCAAGGCGGCTGGACCAGATAACATACCTGGTCATGTTTTAAAGGACTGTGTCGAGGAGCTCAAGGATGTCCTCACAGATATCTTTAACATCTCCCTGGGCCAAGCAGTTGTTCCCATGTGTTTCAAGGCTACCACAATAATTCCAATTCCAAAAAAGCCCCACCCAACAAGTTACAATGACTAATCGGCCTGTAGCACTGACTTCAATTATTATGAGGTGCTTTGAGCGGCTGGTCATGCAGAACATCAGGTCCATCCTTCCTCCCTCTCATGACCCATTTCAGTTTGCATACAGGTCAAACAGATCCACAGAGGATGCCATTACTGCTGTTCTCCATCCAGCCCTCACCCATCCAGCTCAAAGAACTCTTATGTGTGAATGCTGTTCCTAGACTTCAGTTTAGCATTCAACACAATAATTCCCCAGCAGTTGGAAAACAAGCAGGACAAGTGGCCCTCGAGGACCGGAATTGGCCACCACTGGTTTAGATTTATCCTAATTACACCAATCCACTTCTTATTCTATTCTGTTTTGTTCTATTCTATTCTATTCTAGTTCCTAAATGTTATGGCACCCAATACTAGGTGAGAGAGAAACGGTATTTCGATTTTCTGTATGTCCTGCACATATAGTGAATTGGCAATAAAATCCTTGAACCTTGAAGAAGTACTTGAAAAGGAAATAGAAGTAGTGAAGGGGCTACTAGCAACAAGGATACTGCAGTAGTAGTGGGTGAGGACATGTATAGTGGATCAAAAGACCCTCAGTTAACACAGATACCAACTGCATGTAACAGAGAGAGAGAAATAATGACCTGACCTGTTCAAAGAGGCAGAAGATTTGAAGTCTACCACTGACTATATTGCACTGCACTTTATTTACCACTAGGTGTCAGTGAAGCACTGTGTTATTGAAGCCTTGAGTGTGTCTGGTAAAATGAATGGACATTCACATAAGTTGTAAATGGCGATTATGCAAAAATCGTAAAAGATATCAAAAAGCCGTTTAGAACATCTAATAGCTAAATATGACACGAGTTTATGACAGTTGAAATGTGAAGCGACTGACTCACTGATCCACACCACTAGGATCTACAGCCAGGACATCAGAATGTCATTCGGACTGGATAAGTGTGGTCAAATGGTAACAAGGAGAGGGAAGGTAGTCAGAACTGAGGGGACTGTACTACCAGAAGGCAACATAGCAGTTGTTGGACAGCTACAAGTACCTTGGGATCCCACAGGCAAATGGGAACCATGAAGAGGCTGCAAGGAAAGCAGCAACCACCAAGTACCTGCAAAGAGTAAGGCAAGTCCTGAGAAGTCAGCTGAATGAAAAGAACAAAGTCCAGGCGATTAACACCTACGCCCTGCCGGTCATCAGGTACCCTGCTGGCTTAATAAGCTGGCCGAAAGAGGAGACAGAGGCCACTGACATCAAGACAAGGAAGCTCCTTACAATGCACGGCGGGTTTCACCCCAAGCCCAGCATCCTGAGGCTGTACACTAAGCGGATAAGCGGAAGGAAGGAGGCCGAGGATTAGTTAGCATCAGAGCCACTATCCAGGATGAAACAACAAAGATCCATGAATACATCAGGCAGATGGCCCCGAGTGATCATGTGCTTAGTGAACACCTCAGGCAGCAGAACCCAGAGGAAGAAGGGAAGGAAAAGCAGGAACCCTCATGGAAGGACAAACCTCTGCACGGTATGTACCACCATCAAATAGTAGAAGTGGCTGATATCGAAAAATCCTACCAGTGGCTGGACAAAGCTGGACTGAAAGACAGCACAGAGGCACTAATCCTGGCAGCACAGGAACAGGCTCTAAGTACAAGATCAACAGAGACAGGGGTCTACCATACCAGATAGGACCCTAGGTGCAGGCTATGCAAAGATACCCCTGAGACAATCTAGCACATAACAGCAGGGTGCAAGATGCTAGCAGGCAGGGCATACATGGAACGCCATAACCAAGTGGTCAAAGGTGGCTGAGAATGACCAAGCTAAGATCATGTGAGACTTCCAGATACAAACTGACAAACTGGTAATGGCCAACCAACATAGGACATAGTAGAGGTGGACAAACAGAGGAAGAAGGCCATAGTGATAGATGTAGCAATCCCAAGCGATAGCAACATCAGGAAGAAGGAACATGAGAAGCTCAAGAAATACCAAGGGTTGAAAGAAGAGCTAGAAAAGATGTGGAAGGTGAAAGCACAAGTGGTCCCCGTGGTAATAGGAACATTGGGGACTGTGACCCCCAAACTGGGAGAGTGGCTCCAACAGATCCCAGGAACAACATCTGAGATCTCTGTCCAGAAGAGTGCAGTCCTAGGAACAGCTAAGATACTGCGCAGGACCCTCAAACTCCCAGGCCTCTGGTAGAGGACCCGAGCTTGAAGGAAGGAATACAAGACCGCCCCAAAGTGGGGGAATTTATATACTGTATATATATATATCTGCACTGCTCCTTCCATATCTACACCACAGCCAATATGAAATAAGTAAAATAATTACAGCATCCACAGACCTTTGAGCTGAACTCAGTCCTCAGTTTTCAGATGCTTGCAAAAATGAAAATAAAAATAAGGGAGAGAGTTCATAGATTCACATTCATCCATCCAAGTAGAGAACCACCCTGCACAGAGCACCAGTCTATCACATTGACCTGAGGACACCCATGCAGACAGGAAAAACATTAAAATATAGGAAAAAATCTGAGCTTTTAGATTAAAGTACACTATTGTTATTTTATTGCCAAAATAGACAACATAAACATTTCATGAGTGTGCTTGTGAAGAAATGTACTCATTTGTGAACACAACTTTCAAAATCTGTCTAAGTTTTGGTGTGTGGTTGACACCGCAACATTGGATTTGCTATGACACATGAACTCAGATGTTTCATTAGTAGGGCTGTTTGTCTCAGAATGTTTCAATCTCAGTATGCAATATCAATAGAAGACTTATTACAGATACTAAAACAATACTTTTTGAAATCTTTTCTAGAAAACCCTTTTATTGTCTAACATAAAAGCCAAAATTGTGAAATGTTAAACATTGCCTGAACAAGTTGTGTGTGCCAAAAACAATTGTGCAAAAGCTACTCAATTCTACAGAAAACCTCTAGGCATGATGGAGTGAAAGCGTTATTATTAATGAAATAGAGATCACCCTCTTTCTTTCTCTTTCTGTCTCACATACACACACAAACACTCACATAGTAATGTGTTTCTTATAGTACAGTTAATTTAACATATTTCATATCCTCAATTTTAATTTTTTTAAATATTGGTTTATGTCAATGAGTAATTCATAAACAACAGCTTATGAACAATGGGACAATGATTTTCATCTAATATACATACACTGATTTGCTGAAATCTGCATGTGTTTACATGTGTGGGTGTGTGCTTGCACATGTGTGACAGACTGGCTGCAGCAGTCAGTGTCTACAAACAGAAAGGGTTCTTTAAAGTGAGATTAGGTGTCATAAATCGCGGGTGTCGACAGCAGGCAGTTTCCTGCTGCTCCCCCCTGTCTGAGACTGACACAGAGCCCCAAACAAGTGACATCCAGGATGATACAAAGAGTTCCACATGTACCTGCAAATAAGGTCAGACCACATTGAAAACTTCTATTGTGCATTTTCATTTATGAACCGAATGGGGAAACAACTATAACCACAGCAACAAGCAAGCATGAATTCATGGCCTAAAGTCACAGGATCATCTTCAGCATGGGGCAGTACTGTTCTCATGATTAGCAGAATACACCTGTGTGGGTAAAGCGAGTGTGCAGAGCTTTGTCCCTCCCTTACTGCCACCATTGAGATGCCTATGACCAAGACAGTTCAACTGTACCTACTCCAACAGATCATACTGTGTATTGTGCTGGTTAAGTTGGCTGAAGTGGAGTGCAGAAGTCAGGAGTCCAGCAGCCTTCCACCAGAGTCATCACAGATGACCTGACAGTAATAGCAACATTAGTGCCAGGAAGCAGATGCATCCTCCAGGGCTTGGAGAGGCTAATCTCATGGCCCCAAATGTGCATTAAGCCAGAAAAATCCAGGTCCTTGGTTTTGAAGAGAGGGAATGTGATTGACCAGTAC